ACACATAACACATTTAAAATGAATGCATTTCAGTGCAACCAAATCATACCTTCAGAAATGCCATCATTTTTCTTTTGAGACAGGGATATGGTTTCAAGCTGGACATGAATTCCTGGGTTCAAAGGATCTTCCTATCTTAGCTTTGAGTAGGTGTGGGACTAAAGTAAATGCCACTATACCCAGTGCCCATGAAAGTAATTTCTAAAAAACACAACTGAGGAGATTCCAATTTGAGATCTAGGTTACAATTCTGGGACAGCCACTTGTTCTTAGCACCAGGGGTCCACTAATTAGTCTGTCCCATTACTCTAAGTTTTTAGGGTGATAACTCCCACCCAAAAGACTCTTCCAGCCTGGCGTGTTGGTATGTGACTATAGTCCTAGTTAGAGGAGGCAGAGGCAGAAGAATGGCTTGAACCTACAAGTTCTGCCTGGGTAAAAGAGCAAAACCTTGTCTCAAAAATTCTTCCAAATTAAATAGGTGTGATTATTAGGTACTATAAAGGGTAACCTGTAGAGTAAAAGATGAAGCACTGTATGTCATCAATGTGACTTAGTATTAACTTTCACTGAACCCTCACAGCACTCTATTACTCTCTGAGGAGAAAACTGAGTTACAAAGGGGTCAAACTACTGTCTAGGTTCAAGTGTCAAAGCTAGTATCCAAATGTCAATTTCTCTCCAGAGTCCATCCTCTTAACTAAGATAACCTACTGCCTTTTCTCAACTTAAGATCTTAAAAAGACAAGCACCTTCCTAATGACTAGAAAAGTTAAATAAGAGATGTCATCCAGAAAAGAACTTCTCCATAAAAACTCAAAACATAGTATATTTCCAACAAAGTTGCCAAATCACATACCAAAACAAACACAACAAAAAAGAAACCTCAGGAGACTGAGGTAGGAGGATGGAAAGTTAAGAGTCTAGCCTGAGTTCAATCCCTAGCACTGGGAGGAAAAAAAAAAATCAACTTTCAATTTGCTACTTTATCTGTCACTCTTAAAAAAAATCAGTATATTAAATACAACTTCTGTACTGACACACTGAAAAAAAACATACTTCAGAATTTCTCATATACTAGTTAGAACAAGTGTTCTACCCACGAGAAAACTAATATGCACTAAGCACTGTAATCTACATATATTTCATCTAAAACGTCTATGAAATAGATGTTTTTAAACTAACTTTAACAAACCTAAATCCTGAGGCTCGCAGCAGCAAAAAACCTACTTTAAGAGACATACCTCAACCAGGCATGGGGGCTCACACCTACAATCTCAGCATTGCGGGAGGCTGAGGCAAGAGGATCAAAAGTTCAAGCACAGCCTAAGCAATCGAGCAAGATCCTGTCCAAAAAAAAAAAGCCCTGGGTTCAACCCCCAGTAGAAAAAAGAAGACAGGGTCTCACTCTTGGTACAGTATAACTGCCTTTGTAATTACAAGGTCATCAAAATTTCTAGTTGAAGAATCTAGTCTAAGCAAATTTAAAGTGCCAAACTATGACCTTACTGTGCTGTTTTTTTTTTAAATGCACTAATGTACAAATGAAAGATTCAAAGAATAACTTTAAAAGTCTGCCTGCCTCAAAAGAGCAGAGCAAAGCAGACCTCTGATTTAATCAGACCATCCAATGCATTAGTGGTTAGCTGCCTAGAGAAGGATTTTAAGCCTCAAGAAAGAGCAAAGCACAACGTCCAGTGATATAAAGCTAGCTGTCCTGTGCCCAACGCTGCATGTGGCTTATCTTTGACACAGAACACCTTAACAAGCAAGCCACATCTTCCAGTTTATCAGCAAAGACTGTTAGCATTCCTTTCAATATTATTACGCATAAATCCCTCCACTTATATTTTTCTTGTCCAAGCCACTATCATCTGGCACTGGATTTAAAGCGCTTCTAAATGGATCTCTTGCTTCTTTTTCTGTATCCTTATAAGGCTATTCCATACAAGACCCCCCCCATACAAATTAGATTAGTTACATCACCCCTCCGTTATAAAAACCCTTCAATGGCTTACCAGTGAATTCTATATAACTCTAAACTTCTCATCTCTTTAAATTCTGGTTTCTAGAGCTCTACAGCCTCATTCCTTCTACTTTTCCTGTTTCACCTCTAGACTCTAACAACTCGATTCTTTTTTGAATTCCCTAAAATAGGCAAATCTGTTCCTTGTCTATGATCAGTCCCCTCTGAATTAAAAACTCCAAATAAGCCAAATAAGGTGTCACATGCCTGTAATCTCAGTCCTCTAGAGAATGAGGCAGGAGAACCACTGCATGTTTGAGGTCAGCCTGAACTACACAGTGAGTTCAAGGCCAGCCTGAAGTGCAGAGAGAGAATTTTTTTTTTTGGTACCGGGGATTGAACTCGGGTCCTTGGCTTGCAAGGCAGGCCACCGAACCGCTGAGCTAAATCCCTGGCCCCAGAGAGAGAATCTGTCTAAAAGAAAAGAAAAAACCAACAAAATCTCTAAATGTACAAGGACCTCTGTTTTCTTCAGATGTGTCCCGTAAGAGCTCCTGGTAGAAAGGAGATACTGGTGCTATTAAGTAAACATTGTTGAACGAATGACTAATGACAAAACCACGAACTAGCTTTACCTTTCCTTTTATCATTCCAGAAACACAATCAAACCAAAACCCATTACCAGCAAGATTTCTTCATTGCAAGCAGCCCATCTGAGAATGAACACTTAGTCCCTAATGAGCAAATGAGAACACTCAGTCCCTAACAGGACACCTCTCCATATACAAAGTACACTCAAATCCAAGAACAAGAAAAGGTAGCCAAAGAGTACTAGCCCAGGACACTTAATGCTGTCAATTAAATTGGACTGGGATATTTAGCTCAGTGGTGCCACTGTCTGCCTCGCAAGATCCTGAGTTCGATTCCCAATACAAAAAACAAAACAAAACTTTGTAAGCCAGGTGTGGTGCCACATTCCTGTGATCTTGGCACATAGGAGGTTGAGGTAGGAGGACCCCTGAGTTTAACACCAGCATGGGATACATATTGAGACCCTGTCTCAAAAAGCTAAAAGACAGAGCCAGGGTTGTAGCTCAGTGGCACCAAGCCTGCCTTCCAAGTGTGAGGTCTGAAGTTTGATCCCTGGTACCAAAAAAATTTTAAAAAAGAAAGAAAAAGAAAAAAATCTAAAAGACAGCCAGGCTTGGTAGTTCATGCCTATAATTCCAACACTCTTTGAAGCTGAGACAAAAGGATCACAAATTCTAGTCAAAACTGGGGAAAGCGCTGGGATTTAGCTCAGTGGTTCCACCACCTGCTTCGCAAGTGCAAGGACCCAAATTTGATCCCTGGATACTAATAAATAAATACATACATACAAACAAACAAACCTGGGGAACTCCATAATTTCATGGGTCTCAAAAA